ATGAGCGCAACAAGTTTCGCACTATGATGTCTGGCATAGATTGCACAGGTAAGACTAACAAAAGATTCAACAGCTCGTGCAACCGGGAAAGATGGGAATTCTTCTGGTCGTAATGTTCGCGCATTAATGGGCACGTTGTCACCTCACGGCGTACAATTTGTGCCGACACTTTCCAACAATCTCGAAAGAAAGGGTTCCGATGTAACAATAAGAAAAGTTGAAGGCGGAAACTACACCATTCTTTTTGATTAATGCAAAGGTGTCAGCGCAGCGGTTCTATGTACATGGAGACGCGGCCAAATGGTTTCAGAATCATTAGAATGAAAGTGATAGATCATTGAGAAATGAAACGAGGATGGTTTGGGGCTGGAAGATTGGTGGGGTAAAGGCGCGGGGCATAGAAAAATAACGTCTCCAGGATAGTCGTCAAACCTATAGGATCAACGACGCGACAAGGTTGTCAGACGACTTCCTGGCCACACCGTGATGAATCAACTACAAACAATCCAGCAACGCCTGTTGGCGTACTTGACTTGTCTTTTTTTTTGCTGCTTCTGTTCGCCGCATTTTTTCCCCATTCTGCACTCTCCACTTCATTGTTCCATTTCTTCACAATTGGCTGCAGCTCCTTGCACCTGCGACAAAAGAAATGAGGGATCTTTAAAGGGAAGCTGATGCACTTTTCTAAAAATGTACTTAGGAGCGTGTAGGGATACTTTCATCTCTGCTGAGTTAGAAAAGCGATATGAGAGTTCTCATAAGTGGATGCCAATAGCGCGTTTTGGTTACAAAACAGTGGCTGTGGCCGCCGGGCTTCTTGAGATGCTGAGCGAACAGGGTGACGTGATTCTCGATATGACGCGTCATCTGCAACAGCAGCACTGCTCAAGTGTGGCCTCTTCGATTAGTTCCGGCAAAGTCCCGTCATGAGATAGTCGCGGAGGCCGTGGTTGAAGATAAAAATGGACACCTCCTCAGGGCCAGACGAAATGAAGCTGGCGTACGTGTCCACGCCCACACTTTCAGCGCGCTCGTGGGGGCGGAGCAAGACAAGCTTGTATTTCGCCTGTTCTAAAGCTCCTGCTGCTGCAACCGCGAAAGTAATTATGAAATCGTCAACAATTGTGTCGGTTCTTTCTAAACACAAAGTTTGATTGAATTATAAAATCTCTTCAGCTTCCCTTTAAACTTCGCCTTTATATTTGAACGCGATATCCTGTGCCTAGTGTGTACTTCGACCACTCAGTGCATTCCTTATATTGAACGATGTGACACGACAAGTTTAAATAGTGCATTGCTACACTGTAATTGATAAAGTTGAAATTGCTCTAAACTAGGAGTAATTTGGCACATGGAAGATTTTTGCACTTGCTATGCACCCACTACGTGGCCTTTTGAGAATAGGCTCAGTAGCGTGCGTGCCTTTTGTAATGGGTGACCAGCTCTCAAGCACGAAGCCATTATGATAATCACACGTCCAATCACAATCCCTCGATGGATATATACGCTTGCACCACGCCATATTACTGCGATTTCGCAATTTGTAGTGTGAAGCTCGTATACAGGATGGCTGTGTTTGTAATGCATTAACTTTATTTTCACTACATTTGCAAGAAGAGAAAGTTATTCTGACAGAAATTCCAAGAGGAAGGCGTGACTGTGGGGCATAACACCTGCTTGCCATACAAACGGCTCAAGTTCAATCTTCACTCGTACCCGGAAATTTTGATTATTTTTTACTTTTTTCGCATCTCACTCGATCGTTCGGTCACGCATAAGATGATAATTTTAGCTCACAATCAACGACGCCGGTGGCGGAATTTTCGCAAAACAAGCTCTTTAATCTTATTGCGTTAAAATATGGACATTCAGTCTGATCGGTTCGTTGTCATTAATGAACGTTATCGCGTTAAGATGTGAGCATTCAGTATGATCGGTTTATTGCCGTTAGAGAACCGAGTTGTATTCAATTCGAATCAGCGCCACTTACATATGCTCAAGTCAAGGCATGGCAGAATTATCTTTGCTGTTGCCTCAACAATTTTTTTATTTAAGGACAGCAAACAAAAACAGTCTAAAATCCCAGAATTCCTACTCTTCTTTCTATTTAAATAACTACAAGACATAAAGTTGCTTTTTAAGGAACAAAACGCATAACCACCTATAAGAAGAATCTTCTATATAATGCTGATTACCAGTGGAGTGCACGAGGGAAGTATGCATAATAACACAAAATTCGCGATACTGCTACGCATTTTAAGAGGCCACGTATTTGCTATCCTACGCTGGGAGTGACAAATGAATGGGTGAAAATATATTAAAACGGGTGACCCTTTGTGAAATCAGCCTGACGACAGACAATCCTGCTTCCATTTGTGAACGTCTGTAAAAAAATTAGCAGATCCCACGTACAGTCCCCGATAGGGCTTTCCGCGAAAGCTCCTCAGGATCACATAAAGTTCATTGTCTGTCTGTCTGTCCCACGTACAGTGGGAATCGATTATATGCGAAGCACGAATAAGAAAGGTTGATATGTCACTTTCAAATCGGCACAACGTTACGAGGTGAAGGTAAATAATGCCGTACAAGTACTTTCATGTCATGATTATCATGTTTAGATGTGTCGTTTACCTTCGTCATCTATTCGCGATACCAAATTTCGTATATGTGGAGTTAGTGAAATGGCCATGAGCACGTTATGAGCGTGGTAGGTTGTCATGTTCTTACATGACACGCGTGTCAGAATTATCATGTTTGCACCAGTCATATATTTCGTCATCCATTGACGTCACGTAACACCAAACTTGGTATATGTGGAGCTAGCCAAACGGCCGCGAGCGCATCATGAAGGGCCAATTTATATACTTCACTGTAGCGTTGACGCACGCGCACGCTTGGCACTGCAGCACTATGTTAGCAAAGTGCGAGCGCTGTACAGTCTGACGTCAGGTGCGATTGGCGCGACCAGCGTTCGTCGGCGCGGCCCGAAAGCAACCGGTGCGGAATTTGCACTAATGCGTTACCCAGACAACACTGCGTCTCCCTCATTTTGTGACGGAGGGACTCCGGACGCGCTGAAACGCACATGCGTCAGAGCATCGCAGCGCGGCACGCACTTGCGAGTATATGGCAGGGCTGGTGCTTGTCGTGGCAACGCCGGCGTGACGGGACGAAATGAAAGCCGGTGAGCACGCGCAATGCATCACGTCGAAATGTATTGGCGTCTTGACTGTGGCACGTAGTCACGTTCTCACATGACACGCATCTCAGGATTATCATGCTTGCACCAGTCAGATACCTTCGTCATCCATTCACGTACTGTAATACCAAATTTGGTATATGTGACTCTAGCGAAACGGTCACGAGTGCATCATGAGCGTGGCATGTAGTCATGTTGTTACATGACACGCATGTCATGATTTTCATGTTAGGGTCTGTCGCTTGTGTTCGCCATGCACTCATGCCATACCGTACAAGTTTTTCAGCATGCTGTGTGAACAAAACCACCGCAAGAGCTGCAGGACGATGAATTGTAAATCATGACGTTTGTGACATACATGTCATCATTTTCATGTCACGACTGTTCAAATATGTTCTCCGTACAGTCATGTTATGCCATATTAAGTTTTGTATCCATACCAATATCTAAACGGCCAGGAGAGCTAAAAGTCATAGGTGGCTAGATAAATAGGTACGCGTAAAGTCACTGTAGTTCGCTAAGCAATGCTTCGCAATTAAAATTCGCTTGTGCCCTTTTAGTTTGCTAGGGGTTTCTATGTTAGACTTGCGAACTAAAAGTACAGAAATATGCTTTATATCTGCATACTAAGAAAATAGCAAAACGTGGCATGAAGATGCTTATTGCATATCCGAGTTCATTGAGAACGAGTAAAATTGGCCGCATTATGGGATAAAAAATTAGAGCCACCTTCTTCACACTACCATTTTTTCGAGGCGAAATTCAATGGTAAGCAACTAAGAGTAAATACCTGTAAAGCACACATGATTGTAAAACGTGATACCATTGCGTTATACATTTTCTTATATCGTACACGAGTCTTAGACATCCTGTAGTATATTGTATGTTGTCCTATGTGATGTTTATTTTTTATTTTTTAAAGCGATGAAGTTTTAAATAGTACTTAGTAAGCTCGCTGAACTTGTTCAGCTAATAAACCCTGCTCTATAATGCAAGAAACAGTGGAAGTGATAAGGTATAAAATAACTTGACACAATAAATATCACGGTTGAAGACTTACATGGGGCTTTGAGCCGCTTTACATTGGCACGCCCTCCTTACTCGCCATCGGTTGTTGAGCTTGAGGTCACGGGACTGATGAGTATAGACGAAGTCGCTAAAATGGTCGCTTTCACATTCATCATAGTCAATAAATGTCCATTTATATACACAGCTCCCTCATCGCATACCGCAATTAGCACATCCATGTCTTGGAGCTCCTGAGATGAACAAGGCAAGTCAATTTGTTCGTGGTGGCCAAAAAACGACGATGCACACGAACACACACACGCACCTGAAGCTTTACCTGTGCGCGACCAAACAACTGCAATTAGCCGCATGTCAATTCATTACACCAGGACTTCATAGGTGCTCCTTCCATCGCTTCCAGATAACAGCTCCCTGTCATAACACTAGTTCTAGTTTCTCACATTTGCTCTCCACATAACAATGAGACTATAGAATAGATCTTACTCAATAGCCTCCATGTTGCTATTCCAATAAATGCTCAGTCATTTTTCCAAGCAGGAATGCTTTCATTCACCATTCAACTTTGCGTATTTCTTTCCCTGTTTGCTATCACAGTATAAGAGACAAGGTAAGGATTGAAAAATTGGGTCTAAATAAAATTGTTTAAGTAGACATTGTTTGTCTGAAGTACATCGACCAGTGTAACTACCGCGAGCTCTTTCTGTTAGCCGTCTTCGTGAAGACCGTCGGCTTTCTTACTCCAATAATCTCGTAGTTGATTGTTGATTAGGTCGCCTGCAATTAGACCCTAGATGAGGTGGAACGTGTCACTGCTGGCTTCAGCACCAAGCTGACGCAGTCATGAGCGGCAACGGCTTGGTCGCGGGGTAAAGAGCACCGGCTGTAGATGCTCATAGGCCCGTGCTCTTCTTTACAATCCACACTTGGTTGTCCTCTTTAGGATAGATGGAGGATATCTGAAGTTGTGTGGCCTCCTCAGGTGTGGCAACTGTGGTTGAAGGGCAGGCGTCTTCGTCTGTCGCATCCTTCTTCGACTCCGGGCCTGTGAAGAAAACATACAAAGATATAAAATATTCTCTTCTTGATTGCGTACAAACAGTATGAAATGTTTTATACTTTACTAAAAGAGTAATGTTTCAAGTACTAAAATAGAAAAAAAAGAATAAAATAGGCTTGGCCACAGCGCCAAAGAAATGTAAAACGAGCACTCACTCTTGTTGAAGAAGCGTCGCCCTTTCAGTTTAACGGCTCCCAGCACGATGAGAGGCAGGATGCACAGAAGCGCCACAGCGGCAATCACCGTCACTAGGAGTGCACTCGAGTAAATCTTGGCTGCACTTCCTGTGTTCCCCAAGAATATAATGTCAGCACTATTTTTGGCAATACGCAAACGTGTGTACAATGGTTTTGGTTATTTTCGCTCATCCCAACTGCAGGACCTATATCCAAGTGCAGAAAAGCTTGCTATTGTGTCCATTCCCCTATTCCGAGCACGAATATGAAAATCATTTGCCTGAGTTTGTATATCAGTCGTTATGACGCTTGTTTTGTGCTTGAATTGCTGATATAATTAGCGTGAAACCGTTAAAGTTTCATGGGACACGAAATAAACCAAAACAAAAGCCAAGGAACAGCACGAATGCATGAAACGTTCTAAAGAAAGCATCGGTGACGGTGAGCAGGCGAGCAATCCTTCGATTTCTAGTCTATACCAGAATAGCCCAAATAACTTAATTAAACACAAAGTGATGACATGCCCCACTTTGCTCACATTATTACAAATAAATGATCAGTTATGCTGCTCAATACAATTGTCACTTTACCACAACATGAGCTTACGTTCGTTGTTTAAGAACCCCAGTTTTATTGTGCTTAAGGTAAGCCATAAGAAGTCGTACATTCAAAACTACTTATTCATACCGCCCGAATATCTGTGTATAACATAGTGCACAATACTAAGAAAAGAATTCAACATTTTACCCTACACATAAATATGGTGACATCATTTATTCGTTGTTAAAGAAATTGTAATAACCGTATCAACAAAGTAAAGATTTCTTCTTCAAATTTCACATATTGTTTGCTCATTCCACACTATTAATTTAGCTTCTTTCAGCCGACGAACAAATGTAGTTTTTATTGTTGTCCTGATAATCATAGCTTCCCCTGTCTCATTATACCAGTTTGATGTGTGCTCTGAGTTGCTGGGTAAGATATTATGTAGTTTCTCTTCCCGTTGGAGTACCCATATTATAAGCGGATCAATATATATGTCACTAGAATTACGTTGAAAGAGTGGTTAAACTAGATATATTTAAGATATTATACAAAAGGATAAAAAAGTTATCTTTTTGAAGCCATATCCTTAGTGAAGATTATGCATCTACTGCATACTCTTCCTAAACATACACACAAAAAATGATGTAGTGGCTAAACAATTAAAATTTGAAGAAAAAAACTAAACGTGTTTCGCTCCTTCTCTAAGTACGCACCGGACTTTGTCAGCTTTCCCACGAGAGGCATGATTGGAGGCAGGATTGTGAGCTCCGGACTTCGGCCGCGCTCGTTGACGGCGGAGACCACAAGAAAGTATTCCACACCAGGAAGCAGATCGTGGACCTGCAAACAGTGACGTAAGCAGTGCGAATATACATGCATTACACGACACTGCTACAATATCAAGCACAACGTGTTTTTCGGCTCATCATTATTAGCCAAGACACATTCGCTAAAACTTACTGGGTGGCATATGTGTAACTGGCACACAAGTGCCGGTAAATCGTTATGTTACATAAGACATAGCACTTATCGAAGCAATCTGTAGAAAAACATAGAATTTGTTTCATTATGTTTTCTAAGGCTCTTTATTACTTCTGATGCAATTAGCATAAGTGAAAGTATTCTTTCAAAGTTGCGCTTTTAATTTCGGCCTGAGTAATACTGTTTCCACCTAATGAAGTTAGTTTTTTTCGGCTGTGTTTATCTATATAGAGGCTCTCAAAAAGTCTATTTCCGGCAAAAAATAGTTCTCGTTGAATTGAAGTTTGACACATAATTTAGGCAGAAAACAGAAAGGGGGATTATATGTTACCCCATAGAAATTTTCTTTCAGTACTTCAAAGCACACACCTAGAAGGGTGGACAAAATCTTAAGTATGAAACCTGCGAGCATTGTACACGCTTACGCCTCTATGCGACAAAATGGCGAACCCCAGTTTTTTCTTCGGGGAACTAAAGTTTGCTTATACGCGAATTTAATTTTCCCCGGTGCTTGGGAGTTCATAAGGAGTCGCCCTTTTACCGCGGCGCGTTGGAACGTGTGGGTCATGCCCAACGCAGCTGAAAGGCCTTCCTCGATTTTCTAAGCGAGACAGCTTTGCATGCCCGTCTTTAGAGCAAGTGCTAATGTTTACCTAATGCAGAGACTATTGTGTGTGTCCTACCCCGAACGGGACAGTGTGAGCAGTGACTCATTGTGCTATATATCACAATCCCCCCTCACCATGTGCTCCTCTTTCTCTTTCTTTTCCCCTTACCCCCTCAAGGAGTATCAGGCTAGAAACCCGCTTTCCAGGCCGAGCTCTCCTTCTTCTCAATAAACACGTTCTTCTTCTTCACAATGCTTACAATTTTGTCCATACAAACCACGTATCGAACATCTGGTCAAGAATAAAAACCTGTCAGAGAATAACATGTTTATTTATGTATTACGTATTGTTTATTTTTTATTTACCTATCTATCTATTTATTAGAAAAAGGAGGATGGTCCGCAATAACACGGAATAGTAAGTTTCCATTATTTATCAGTTCAATAACCTTTAATTCAGAGAACTGAAATATAGACCGCTACCAGTCCAGTTGTATTTCTGAGGTAACACGGTTATTCGACCATAGATACGTTAAAGAAAGCGCGTGGAGTGTTCAACCATTCAGATACTATTGTAGGCATAGACGGTAGCCAGTCCTTCTTACTCCACCAATGAACAATGCGTTTTCATCTGAGAGTGATATGCTGTCACAATGGAGCTGCAACTATTTTTATTTCATTTATTATAAAACATTAGTTGTATGGGGCTCCTCGGCGCTCAAAGGTGGTGTAAGAAAGTGCGAGTTGTCTTCACGGTAATCTATCGCAACCCATTTGCTCAGAAATGAACGCGGAGAGACATTCATGTAAGCAGAAAAAAAAAGGCGTCCGCATTCGTGATTGCCTGCAGCATTGCTGTTGCACGTGTTCGCGGTTGCGGTTACAATGTTGCAGTGAATATGTCCTAAACAAACGCTATGTATTAGCTCTGCCAGGTGAGCACTTCATTCGACGGTATACTCTCACCCAGAAATCTGGCTTGTCGGCGGTGAAGTTTGCCGACACGGTGGCTGTAAGTGCGTCGTGCACGGAGAGCACGAAGTGCGCCGGAAGGATGGCCGTCTGATCCTGCCTGGCACTCGAGGTGCAGTGATCCCTCAGTTTGGTTGGTGATGGAACAGTTCTCCACAGGGCCCGGGGGTCCTACTTTCAAATGAACCGCCGACACATAAAGCAAAAAAATACCGAAAAGAAACGTGAGAAGGTTGCAAAGGAGAAGTGAGGAACGACGAGTTAGATCACATTTGGTCAATAGGAAAATACAAACCTATATCAATGCATTTCATTTGCATTAGCTTTAGGTAAAACAGAAGTCATTAGTGGCTTGTTCACACTGCTCTGAAAAGAAAACTGACTTGGGATGACCGAAAGCTAGTTTATTTTCTTGACAAATGATTTTCGCTGGTGTAGTTTTAAAGCTCCAGATGGTAAGCACATCTTCCACTGCATTTTACAAGCAGCAATAAAATAATGGTGAATGAATGTCATACCTCTTCATTCCACTAATGTTATTTATATAATGAACAGATAACATCGTCACCGTGATTGCGTATAGTGTTGAAAGTTTCACGTTTTTACTAGAAGTTCAGTCACACTGTCCCACCAAACACTCTCCTAAAGGGGACCAGAAACACTTCTTCAAGTATTCATGTATTGAATTCACTGAAAGAGCTTATTGCCTCACAAATTCAACGCTGCAAATATTTAAAGAAACCGTGCAATGCGAGTGGAGTAACAAACGTTTGTCGCATGCTGCAATTGCATACTCTCTTCTCTCGTCTTGACGAAAACGGTAGAAGCTAAGCAGGGAGAGCTTCCAGGGCCACAGAAAAACGTCACGCGTCCTTCGCGACCTTGAGCAATTTTTTTCTTTTTTTTTCTTCGAATGCGCGGCTTTTTTAGTGTGATCACGCCTGCACGCGTGGACAAGTAGCGGTCTTTCGTAGCGATCTCTGTAACAAGTGAGCGTGCCGTAATCAAATCAACCAATTGTTGTTAGATGCGTCTTTGACGCGTGATTTTTGGGCATATAACATGATTTGTCTGGAGAAGAGAAAGCAATTTTTAGCTTACTTTGGTAATTTATTGTGAATTCCAGGCCGTGTACCGTGCTTTAATATTTTACTCGCGTGTTGTCGAGAGCCTCTACTACCGATTGGTAGTGTTTTCTGACCGTGCTCAAGAAGTGTTGCAGGGCCCTTTTAAAAAGTACTGTGCTGTACTGTAATGCACGGTAAAAAGCGTTCAACATAATTCGTCAGTAAACGTCTATTTAAATCGATACTCAAGAGTGCACCTTATTGAGCTGATTGATGTACAAATGAATTAGAAAAGGATGCTGATACACGAGACATTTGCACGGGATAGCACCCTGTCTGCAGTTTTGTCATAGCCACGTGTATAGAGCTCTTTATTCCTGTTGAACAGCGAAAGGCACTATTAATATATGTATTTGTGCATTGTGAGTTTACGATGGGGTCATCTTACTTCCGGACGTAATTGCAAGATTGGGGTTAGTTGTCTACTTGACAACAAAACACGTTTTAATATAGCGCAGTTTCGCTGTCATCATGAGTGATAGACGGCCGGCTCATGCACTTGAATTTATGCCTTCTTAAGTAGAAAACTTCAATGACTTCTCACGATAGCTTATCCCTGTGTTTGTATATAACAGTGATTCGCTCAAACACGGTATCACATGTGCTGTACCCGAAGCTTTCTCATACAAATAGAAACTTTATACATAAAAGACTGAAAATAAGTGCAACAGCCAGTGGTCTGTGTCCTTCTTTCCCAACGAAATAGCTCATTTGCACTATGGAAGCAAAAAGACTCACTTGTTGGAAACATTTTTAATTAATTACTTTTGCAATTTTTGCATCCATTCGTGTCGTGGTAAACTCTGTGTAGGCACAAAAGTTTTGGCCTGCCTATATAAACCCATTTCTTGAAGATGAAATTCTGTCGATAGTCAGTGCTCTGCGCTGTTACGTGCGCCTTGGTATTTTTTCCTCGTACTTCAAGCGCTGCCATAGCGAATTAGACGGCTAAGAGCCTAGAGGAAAAGAAGCAGCTCTACATTTTGTTATTGTGTACCTTGTCTCTGTACTGCACTCCCAACCTATATTGATGCCCAGGTCTAACTAACCGAGGTAAAACTTGCTTGAATCACTTTACTCTGATACTTATTACGCCTGATAAATTTCAACGTATGCTGCTTCACCCTCTATTTTCTTTTACGCACGTTTATTTGTATTAGGTTCACTTTGAATTTCCTTAACTGAACTAGGTTTGTAATCCAAGTCCTTAGACAATGCTATACGAATCTTCGATAGTAGTTTTTTTTCAGACGCAGCAAAAGGGACTACGTAATGCGTGTCTTACCGAAAATAGTTACATCAGTCGTCCATTATTGTACGCAACTCTGCGTACACGATTTTGTTGTCCAGCCAACCAACAAAAGCTTAGCCGTTCAATGCGTTAGAGCAGCAAATAAATTGCCTGAGTTATCATAGGCCAGCAGTGCTAAAAGCATGTTTGTTATGCGATTCGCTTCTGGCGCGCCTTTTCCCCATTAAATTCTTCCCACAAATAACATGGAAAAATTAGTCTATGCATTTAGGTTCACGATACTTCTGATTCTATTCTCCTTGAATACACTCGCTGACGGCGTGGAATGACGGATTTGTCGACAGACTAATTATGTAAAATCTTTCCTGAAGCTTTCATCTTGATAACAATGTTTTTATAGCAGCACACTCGCTAAATTATTCTTTTACTTCTCAGTCACCTTGTTTGCATTCCAAATGCTCCACTTATGGTCTCAACGTCTGTACCGGCAGTAGATGTCCCATACAGAGAACATCCACGCCATTCATGTCTTACGTTCTCTGTCCTCATTGGCCCCGCTAAAACAGCTCTACCCGAAATCTGACTGCATGGATACAACTTTACTGACCTGCCTGAACGACGTGGAATAGACATGGTTGCCGTTGCTTCCCGATGCGATTAGAGGCTGTGCAGAGAAGGGTCCCGTACTCAGTGTGGCTGTGGGGGATGTACCGGGCGACACTGCTCGTGCCCTGCGCCGTGAAGCTCTTTAGGGGCCGTTGCTGAAGTGTGCTGTTGAAACGCCACTCGAAGGTGACATTGCTGGGATCCGCTTCCACTTCGCAATGCACCTCGACCTCCTGATGCCGTGACGCAGCGTACACAACGTGTTGGTTTGCCTTGCACAGTGGCGCGTCTGTACGGAGAACAAAAAAACAACGTCCGAAACGTCAATTGTTCTTTTATATTTTCAGATGACTGAAATTTTAATCCTAAGATCGCACAGGGAGCTTCAACAGGCTTTCTTTCGCCAGTTTCAAAACCTGGCTTCAGGGAGACACTGATACACGAAGACGAGCATACAATTTACTTCAAGACTTATGAATGTGACCTGCATGGCCTTAGCTGAACTCGCGAAGTTGAAAACAGCTTTCTCTATGAATGTGTCTGCAGCCGAGCTGCATTCTAACGAGGAAAGCGCGGATTACATTACAAGCAATCTATATATGCCACCACAGACTCTGTAAATTTTGTGGATGAGGTACAATTCACGAGCCTCCCGGTCATAATGTGTTTTGAAATAGGACTGACCAACCAACACGAAAAGTGTGTGAAGGGGTTGGCCAAAATTATTAACATGTTTGTTAATTGCCGCAACCACCTGCGACGCCCCCGAAGACAGCGGCCGATTTCAATAAACGAATCAAACTCCATCCCCCCAGGCGCATGGGAAAGCAGGCACATAATGACTTTTCGCGCTTCTAGAAGATACCATGCTGAACAAAGAAATACGCACTCTGGGTTGACATCCGGTGTACGTGACCACTTCCCCTTTCATCCCCTAGCGAAAGGATATTTGCCTTTTAGCGGCGTAATCGTCGCGTCTTTAACATATGATGCTTGTTCACTTTTGTGTAGTGCCTTTCTTTTTCAATAGCATGTTTAGCCCCATCTCCTTTTCCGTTTCTATTAGTTACTTATTGATTGCTTGTTTGCTTGTACTGGCCACGCCTCTTGTTATACTTCAACAAATATTGGTTCTGTACGCATTTGTCTCTCTCTTGCCCTGAACTGTTCTGCTGTTGTACTCGAGTTGCTTTCGCCCCGTTCTAACAGACCACAACGTTATGTGTAGTTGTGCATGTAGCACTGCAATCTGTACTTAATCTCCAACTCAATGTACTCATCGCATCTTTGTCAAAGACTGGCCGAAAGCACAGAATTAATATTCGTTGTGTTTTTCACTGTCACTCAAGGAGCAGGCAAAACGAGATGTGCCTTCACGTGCAACTGCCAATCACCGTCTCCATCTTTTATGCTCAAGGCCGCGCTGTTCGGTTTCATTCAGTCATACACAGAAAGAGTGTTAGAAATCTGTTTAGCGTTACATCACAACATGTACAGACATCATAGGGTCGTCATAATGATATAATTTGTGGCATCCTGATGCCACCACCTGATTACGTTCTGACGTTAGGATAGTTTTTTCATCACTTGCTTCAATGTCGCAGAACGTTTGCGGCGTACAGTCTAACTTACACCGACTTTGATGAGGCAACGAATGCTTTCTTTCAAATGACATTCCAGTATTCATGCTGTGTAGTTAAAGAGTTCGCGTCACAGAAATTCTTGTGTTGGTGGCTTTCGCAGCGCCTTTGGTTGTGAGCGAAAAGAAGAGCGTTGGCTTTGGCGGAAAATTAGAGGTAGATGCAAATACTGATAGGAGCCGGAAAGCGTTTGCACTTCGGCTTTGCTTGCGACTCAGTTTAGGTCTCCACCGAGAAGCGAAGATAGGCTAGCAAACGGGAAGGCTTGAAGAGGAGTGTGTGCGTGTGTGTGTGTGTGTGTGTGCGTGTGTGTGTGTGTGTGTGTGTGTGTGTGTGTAAGTGTGTGTGTGTGTGTGTGTGTGTGTGTGTGTGTTTATACGTGTGCATGGGTGTGCACAGATACGCTTCATATTCATCTCCCAAAAAGCAATACTTTCGGGTCTCCCGATTTGCCGTTACATTCACAGGTCATGTCGAAATATAAACTATACAGGATAGTAAAAATGATTCTTGAGTCGTTTCCAAAATTTTAAGGCCTCTATCTGCTGGATATATTTCAACAGTCTGGCCAGTTGTTGATGCTTTAAAGTTAACACGTAGCCATAAATTTGTCTAGAAAACGATGACATAAACATTGCGTTTATAAACTGATTCATGTTAACGAGAAACTCACGTTGCACACGAAGTTGTAGTGTCTCGCCCTGAGTCCTTCCTTCCGAGTTCTCAGCACTGCAAGAGTACAGGCCCGAGTGGTATGTCTGCACCCGCTGAATCACCAGGAAGTTCTTTGAGACGATAACATTTTCAGATGCCTGTAACTCGTCGCCGTCGAACTGCCAGGCAACTTCTTCAACTGGAGGATTGGCATCCGCGCGGCATTCCAGGTACACGTCGTTATTTTCCTGGATGTTCTCAAGGACTTAGCTTGGTGCCTAACTGCAATGAAATCCTGGGCTTGTCTGCAAAGGAAAACATTGTGCGGAAAATTCAACGTGCAAAATATTTCCTCTATGATGCGGGTGATTTAGGTGTGTGGCTATGCGCCGCAAGGCAATTAATGCAGAAAATCACGAGTTTTTTTTTCGGCTTACCATTATTAACGTGAGTGAAATTATCAAAGAAACAACCCCTCTTTCCCAATAGCAAAGCTTTGATATGTTCAATTACCGTTCCTTTGGTTCACATAGCAAAAGTTCAATAATCGCCTGTTTAGGGAGAGAATCATTCATTGCAGAGCCACATTTATTATATCAAGGGCATTCAACTGAACCCCACCCCCGATGTTTTGCGTCCGTGATTGTTCCTTCCGATTGCTAGATAGGCTGCAGACCTTAATGTTATGCGGCATCGGCGACTTGCGAATTCTAAAAGTACGTCAAATTCTTTGTTAACACTTTCACGCATATACTCAAAATTATTTTCTTGAATAAATCAACTGTAGCTCTGTGCAACGATATTCGACGCAACTAATATACATAGTCCAACACAACATATATGCTTGTAACAATAGAGCGTATAACATATTCATTCCGTCCCACAAATCACTTTTCTTTCTGCCAAAACCTAGAACAAATATCATTTATTACCAATTTTTTTCTTATCGAATAGGCTTCAAAGAGCAATAAGTGAAAAAATTGAAAAGGCACTGCTGATGGTATCTTCACAAAGGGGTAGCCTAGAACATTACATGTATAAATGTGTGCGCGTGTGTATGCGAGAGTGCATCATGCGTATGTGCTCACATGAATTGGGAGTGTCCACTTACACTGCACGTCCATGGTCCACGTGTCCTCTTCAACACTGTCCACCATTGCTGGGTTTTTGGCTCGACAAGCGAGACTGGAGCCGTGGTCATCACTCGAAGGTGTGAACGAGACCACGCTGGTGGTCATGTTGCCGTCCTGTTGACACGTACACAAAAGTGTGGTTCAGTTGACGCAGGCCTTTCCACCACGTCACTACAGGCGGTGGCCGCGAACCCCACACTTCGCATACAATTTCAGCAGGCAGGCCCGCCGAGACGGGAATGTCGCCACGCCTGATCTTCACCGACGTTGGACGCACTGCGTACGTTGTGAGCAGTGGCAGCGAGGTTTACAAACTCCTGTCAGTATATCCACGAACACTTCACAGCAACTCAAAAACACATACTTGGCCCCGCCGGTGGTTTAGCGGCTAAGGTACTCGGCTGCTGATCCGCAGATTGCGGAATCGAACCCCGGCTGCGGTGGCTACAATTTCCGATGGAGGCAGAAATGCTGTAGGATAGTGTGCTCAGATTTGGGTGCACGTTAAAAAACCCCAGGTGGTCGAAATTACCGGAGCCCTCCACTACAGTGTCTCTCCTAATCATACGGTTGGTTTGGGACGTTAAACCCCACATATCAATCAATCAACCAAAAACACGTCACTTGAGCACACACACACTCGAACGCGCATGCACGCAGGCAACTTTGGAGATATACGCACCGTTCATAAGAACGGCCAGCATTTGGCAAATGTGGTGTGCGAAGAGTGAAGGCTACTTCTGTGCCAAAACTAGTATAATGCTTTTGATTACTTCGCGCAGTCCAGAATGCTAGCGGCTAAGCATGAATAGTTCGTGGGAGTAAGCGCTATTCCAGACATAATGTTTAAAATGACACTTGGAGTATTCAGCTCATGACATGAGAGTTAACACATAACGTAAACATATAGTGACTGTACTGTACACTAAAAGAAACATCTTGAATATTCGTGATTGCGTTGTACATTACTTTGATCGCATTGCAGTAAATATACAAAGTACTTTTGATTAGCGCTTGCGAATAACTTGTATGTAGAGAGCGTGTAAGCGGTCGCACTTTCACGATTGTGTTTGAACAAGTAAGCAGTTTTGCAGATTGAACACTAACTATCACTGAATGTCAAGAGGCAAGGTCGTTAAGTGAATGTCAGGAAGTGTGCTTGTAGCAGTTACACAAAGAGGTCTTTACAAAGGGTTATGAAAGATCATTCTTCAGCATTCTCTGTGACTGTGCGGGGCGTTCCCCGCTGGGCTGGTGCTTTTATTGTGTATGTGAATGTGTGATTGTGATGACATAAACGGGACGACGCACTCGGTATAAAACAGAAATGCAAGGAAAGGTGTTCTGTACGCCACAGTTTTCTTACACCTAAGATCACTGCACTACAACAACTGCCTTTCGTATAGAAACTATTACCTAACAGATTTAGGCAAGAAATTTTTCGCTTTTACTTCTTACGCGCGCATTACACATGCAGAATTTTAGCGTGCAGTTGCAGAGATATGCCGCATGCTTCAAGCCCTTTCACTGTGTTTTTGTCGCATAGAGGACGCTCAAATCTACGAATGTGGGACCACAAAGTGGCAAGACATAACCACCATTTCATTGAATTTTCTCATTTATAGTTCTCTTTACATCCGTGCCCTCACTTTTGTTGCTTTTACGAACACGTTATGGTGCAGCGAAAATGCATGTAAGTCTGGCAGTAGGGCATTGATTGGTTGATATGTGGGGTTTAACGTCCCAAAACCACTATATTGTCACGGAATCGTGACGTGGCCAAAGACAGAAAAATTTGTGTTGGGATTTAACTGTTTATTTGGGCGAACCTGTGCCCGGTAAAGGGAAAGCCTAATACAGCAGCAGTCTTGCACAGATAGCAGTCTCGGACTGATAGCGGCGAACGCAGCGTCGGCCTTCGATCAACAACTGACAGGCGGCGAAGCGCGTCGGCATTTATACCCTTGCCGTCGAATGTTCTAGCGTTATCGCTGGCGGTGGCGTAGGTTCCAGAACAATCTGTACCGTTTGCACAGTGGGCGTGATTTTATCGAAATGATCTACTACAGTCCAGAACCTTCTCGAAACCTGCAGGCGCGGTTTGCGCCGAGAATCGTGTGGTGTTTCGGAACGATAACAAAAACTTGTGAAATGGAACGTGGCATTGCCCCCCTCTGAAAAAAGGCATCGTCCCAATGCTTTAACTAAAGATGAAGGTACAATAATAATGCAAGAAAGTACAATGAATAAATTACAATACAACAATAATACAAAAAACACTGTTTCAGTTTGTTAACGTGCATGAAACGGCTTGAGGCGCGCGACATGGACGACTTCAGGTCGCGATCGGCGTCGCTGAGAGTTCGTGATGCCGTCGGGGACAACCTCGTAATCAAGTGGGCCGAGACGTCGAACCACCTTGTACGGTCCGAAGTACCGTCGCAGAAGCTTCTCACTTAGTCCACGTCAGCGTATCGGCGTCCACACCCAAACACGTTCACCGGGCTGGTATTCCACGAAGCGTCGTCGAAGGTTGTAACGGTGGCTGTCGGTCGTCTGTTGATTCTTGATACGAAGACGCGCAAGTTGTCGGGCTTCTTCGGCGCGTTGAAGGTACTCGGTCACATCGAGGTTTTCTTCGTCGGTAACGTTGGGTAACGTGGCATCGAGCGTCGTTGCCGGGCTCCTTCCGTAGACCAGCTTGTGTGGAGATATCTGCGTCGTCTCCTGCACCGCCGTGTTGTATGCGAAGGTCACATACGGAAGAATGGTGTCCCACGTCTTGTGTTCGACATCGACGTACATTGACAGCATGTCGGCGATCGTCTTGTTAAGCGGCTCGGTGAGGCCATTGGTCTGTGGGTGGTACGCTGTCGTCCGGCGGTGGTTTGTTTGGCTGTATGCCAAGATCGCTTAAGTTAAGTCGGCAGTGAATGCCGTTCCTCTGTCGGTGATAAGGACCTCCGGGGCGCCGTGACGTAGGACGATATTTTCGACGAAGAACTGAGCTACCTCGGATGCACTGCCTTTTGGCAGGGCTTTTGTCTCGGCGTAGCGGGTGAGGTAGTCGGTAGCTACCACGATCCACTTGTTTCCGAAAGCCGACGTCGGGAACGGCCCCAGTAGGTCCATACCAATCTGCTGGAAAGGTCGGCAAGGTGGATCAATTGGCTGCAGAAGTCCGGCTGGCCTTGTTGGCGGTGTCTTGCGTCGCTGACAGTCCCGGCATGTCCTCACATAACGAGTGACGTCGGTGGTAAGACGTGGCCAGTAGTACCTTTCTTGTATCCTCGCGAGCGTGCGGGAAACACCCAGGTGCCCTGCCGTCGGATCGTCGTGCAGGGCCTGCAGGAGTTCTGGTCGCAGAGCTGAAGGCACCACAAGGAGACACTTAGCTCGAAGCGGTGAAAAGTTTTTCTTTTGTAGAAGACCGTTTCGTAGAAAGAACGACGCAAGTGCGCGCTTGAATACCTTCGGGACTTCGGCGGTCCTGCCTTCGAGGTATTCTATTAGGGCTTTAAGTTCCTGGTCGGCCCGCTGTCGTTCAGCGAAGTCGTCGGTAGTTATCGTTCCCAAGAAGTAGTCGTCATCCGAGTCGTCGGGTAGCGGTTGGTCGACAGGCGCACGAGAGAGACAGTCAGCGTCGGAGTGTTTTTTGCCGGACTTGTAAATGACAGTAATGTCATATTCTTGAAGTCTCAGGCTCCATCGTGCGAGGCGACCTGAAGGGTCCTTCAAGGTGGCTAGCCAACACAAGGCGTGGTGGTCGCTCACAACTTTGAAGGGCCTGCCGTAGAGGTAGGGGCGAAATTTCGACGTAGTCCAGATGATGACGAGGCACTCCTTTTCTGTTGTGGAATATTTTGCTTCTGCTTTGGATAGCGATCGGCTGGCGTAACTAATAACCCTTTCAAGTCCGTCAGCCCTCTGCACAAGAACGGCGCCAAGACCTACGCTGCTTGCGTCAGTATGTATTTCTGTCTCGGCGAATTCGTCGAAATGGGCAAGTAACGGAGGCGTCTGGAGGCGATGTTTAAGCTCCTGGAAAGCGTGTTCCTGCGGCGTTTCCCACTTAAACTCCAAGTCGGCCTTGGTAAGGTTAGTGAGAGGATCGGTGATGCGGGCGAAGTTTTTCACGAACCGCCTATAATAGGCACACAGGCCCAGAAATCGGCGCATGGCTTTCTTGTCAGTGGGCGGCGGGAAGTCGGCGATAGCGGCTGTTTTCCGTGGATCGGGACGAACTCCAGACTTGCCGATAACGTGCCCCAGAAACAAGAGCTCCTCATACGCAAATCTGCACTTTTCTGGCTTCAGTGTGAGTCCGGACGTCTTGATGGCTTGAAGTACAGCTTCAAGGCGCCGAAGATGCTCGTCGAAACTCAAGGAAAACACGACGACGTCGTCCAAGTACACAACGCAAGTCTGCCACTTCAATCCTGCCAGTACTGTATCCATAACGCGTTGAAAAGTTGCAGGCGCTGAGCAAAGACCGAATGGCATCACCTTAAACTCGAAGAGGCCGTCCGGTGTTATAAACGCCGTCTTCTCTCGGTCTCTTTCGTCGACTTCGATTAGCCAATAGCCAGTCTTGAGGTCCATTGACGAGAAGTACTTGGCGTTATGGAGCCGATCAAGGGCGTCGTCAATTCGTGGGAGAGGATACACGCCCTTTCTTGTGATTTTGTTCAGGCGGCGATAATCGACGCAGAAACGTAGGGTCCCATCCTTTTTCTTCACTAACACCACGGGGGATACCCACGGACTCTTCGACGGCTGGATAATGTCATCTCGCAGCATTTCATCAACTTGTCTCTTCATTGCCTCACGTTCTCGCGTCGAAACCCTGTACGGACTCTGACGGAGTGGTCTGGCATTTTCTTCGGTTATGATTCGATGTTTCGTGATTGGGGCCTGCCGAATTTTCGATGACGACGAAAAGCAATCTTCGTATTGCAGGAGCAGGGCCTTCTTCGACGCATGGCGTTATTCTACGCCACTACCACGCAATATTACATTTTAAGGAGACTCCTTGCACTACGTGACTGTCTTTCCACTTTCTTTCCAGACAGTTTGGAGCACTGGCACGGCTCAGTTGTAGGATTGCTGTTTTCGCGCAACTGGGTTTCGTTATTCACCAGACAATATCTTTGCAATTTTTTTCACCCATCTCAAATGTTCGCTCTCGGAAAACGCTAGTTTCTCACTCATAAACAACACCATCTTTGACACAGGAATTTTGGCAAAACGAGTTCTCCGGCCTTGTCAGGCTAAAT